AAAGAGTCGGACACGACTAAATGACTAAACAACAACAACAAAGCAGTCAATACCTCAGTAGAAGTGAACATCTCCCTACTGAGAAGAAACACACCCCTTCCCTTTCTCCTGGAAATGGGCAAAAGGTTTTGAAAAAGAGGAATGAAGCTGGTAGTCTCACAGACAAGAAAGGATGTCATTTCCTGGCCTGGCCAACTCAAGGCATGTTTTTTTCAATTCCAGTGACTCAAAATGTGAGTGCTTCTGTGTCACGAAGGCATTGTTTCCCACCCCACACTGTATTTGTAGCATGCAGCATTGTTTCTGTAATACCGCAGTTTGTTTCTGTCCCCAAAACAAGAACATGTTATTTGTCTTGCCGTTGGCTGTTGTGAAATTATGTAACATATGCCACTTACATAATTAATACTGTAGGTTATATTGTTGTTATTTTATTCCACCCCGTTCGTTTCAATGCAAAGGAAATACAATGCAAATGGGGAGTTGTAATGTAATGCAATCAATTATGTATCATTTGCAGACTGACAGCAACAGCAAATATCATTGGTATTTGCTGGATTGATTTCTGTTCTGGACATAGGACAAATAAGCAAACACTGGCAATTTCCCACTATCCACTTCTGTTTTTGTCACAAGTCTCTGACATCCCTACTCACGTAGCTTCAAGTAGTTATGGATTAGAAGTTGTGGGTTACTATGGCCTCTTGGGGCAGGGACTGTGAGTGTGACTAGTTGCTTTACAGTCTCATTCTGCAGTGTGCCCATCTGTGGTGCTTCGTACTTCATTCTAGCAGGTTCAGATTATCTCAGGTAGTCAATATTGCACCTTTTTTTGGCACTGTATCATTCTTGACTCTTGCATCTGTTCTTAACCTGAACAAACCATTGGGCTGCATCCCAGCAACCTCTACTCAGAGTAGGCCCATAAAAATTAATGGGCCTACATTAGCCACATGTATTAATTTCAATCGGACTATTCTGAGTATGACTTGCAATGAATTTAACAATTATTCAGTGAAGTTTGAGCTGACAGTGTCTGCTCCAGCTATGGGATGGGGAGGGATAAGAAGTTTAGGCTATGTGGAATAAGTGAGCACATATCTTTTACTTCCAAGTCATTTCCCTTCCCTCTGGTCCCAGACTTCTCCAGCACCAGAAGGTTAGGGTCGTTGAGTGATGATGCACTGGAGTGAAGGCTGCTGGTTTCATGCTTTGGGGGAACCCTCTATCTCCTTGAAAACCTTCAAGGGCACCAACATACAGCTTGTTTCCAGATTCCGCACAAAGCCACCTTATAAACAGAAGTGTAGATTCATCATCAGGTGAAACTTTTTTTTTTTTTTTACTATTTCTGTTTTTTTTTAAAAAAATGATATTTATTGAAAATTTTTAAAATTACAGAAAAAGACAAAGCAGAGAAAGAAAAAAGAAAGAAACAAAAAGGAGAAAAAGAAAACAAACCACATCCAACAATACAAATTCAAAAAACAAAAATACACCACAAACATATAAAAATAAAACCAACATTCCCAAATCTTCAACTTTCATTACCTTCTTTCTTTGACCTCCTCCTTCTCCCTTTTTTTGTATCCCAGTTATTAATTATCGCAGCAAATCCTTTCCATATTTCATAATATTCTGTCATTACATTACCTTAATCTATTTTCATCTTATCTTATAAAAAACCTTAAAACTTAAATCTTATTTTTAACCACTTCTCATAACCATAATATTCTTGCCTAATTCTTTAAACATTTTTGCTAGAGCCAAGTAATTTTGTTCCAACATTTTTCTAACAGTCATCAATTTTATAAAACAATCCTAGTAATAAAAAAAGAAAGAAATAGAAACAATCCAATCTTCATCCAGCGTCCCTTCCTCCTGGTCCCGGGTTTTGTCAGTCCTTTTTATCCCATCAATCTAGCGCATTAACCTGGTAACCTTATATCCGAGGCCCTTAAGTCCCTTCCATGTCCCTTCCGCAGCTCTTCTTCATATTCACCTTTCACTCGTGGGAACTCCAGCTTGCAATGTTTTTGACCCTTTTCAACAAATCAGCCCCTTTTCCATAGTCCAGACTAAACTCCATGCAGTATTTAAAGTCATGTTTCAGAATCCCTCCAAAACTGAGAGCCCCCACAGCTCCAAACATCTCACGGCCCATTGCCAGACTCGGAAAGTCCAAACATCCCTGCATGGGGGGGGGGTCTATCCAACCCCCCATTTCCAAATCAGTCCAAACTTTATCTTTCCTAATCTGGCTTTTTCCAAGTTCATTTTTCAAATCCAAAAGCTCATGTTCCTGCTGGGCCGCAGCTCCCTCCATCTCTGGCGCCCAAGATTGCGCAACATCCTCTTCTCTCATCTGTTCTGTCAGGGCACACTCCTGATTTAATTCCTGGGTGGGCTCCGTATAGTTTCCCACTGCCTGTTCAAAAATTCTGACCGCATTAGTCATCAAATCCGTCTTCTCAGTTAACTGTCCCAGTAGAGCATTTATTTTACAGAGAGCACACAACAGAGCTTCTGAATTCATTGTCCTACAAGGTCACAAGCCTTTTCCCATGATTGTAATCTGTGACAGCTGCAAGCTCCCTGGAATTAGTTACAGTTTCCCAGTCTCCCTCTAGGGGGAAAACTTCTAGTTGTTCTTGCAACAAAGTTTCTTTTTTAAGATATTTTGTCAATATTTGTTCCTTTAAAATGCGAAAGAAAACAGTGGAATCACTATGTTCATCAGGTGAAATTTTCAAGGAGTTTTAAGGGAAGTCTAAAGAGGTTCAATAAGCTCAGTGGTACAGCTTCAGTTTTGTGTGTGCAGAAGGTTCCAGGTTCAATCCCCGGTACCTCCAGATGTGGATGGGAAGGTCTCCTGTAAGAACAGAAAAAGAGCCTGTCGGATCAGGCCAATAACTCACCTAGTCCAGTATCCTGTTCTCACTGTGGTCAATCAGATGTCTGTGGGAAAGCTGCAAGCAGGTTGGAAAACCCTGGGGAGCTGCAACCAGCCAGCATGGACACTACTGATCTAGATAGACCAACAGAATGACTTGCTTCCCATGTAGCTATGGGAATCACAAGAAAGTGCTGTCTGCTGGTTCTAATGATTAAAGTGTAGAAAGGGAGCTGGTCTCTGCAGATAGAACAAGTGACCAAAGTTACCTAAGGCTTCACTTAATGTAGCTCATTTGGTATTCAGTCTGGAAATAGAAGCCAATCTCTAACTTTCATGGACATATATAAACTGACCCCATAGGGTTACAGTTGAGGTACGTTGGGAAAGATGGAGGGCACAAGGAGAAGGGGACGACAGAGGACGAGATGGTTGGACAGTGTTCTCGAAGCTACAAACATGAGTCTGACCAAACTGCGGGAGGCAGTGGAAGACAGAAGTGCCTGGCGAACTCTGGTCCATGGGGTTACGAAGAGTCGGACACGACTAAACGACTAAACAACAACAACAAGAAGGAGAGTAGGTTAAAGCTCTCTCCTGCTCATCAGTTTTGAATCTGGCCTACAAATGATAAACAGGTTTGGTTCACCTATTGTTTCTTCCATTCTTCCTTCCCTCCCCATCCTCTATTTCACGAGTACTAAATTTAACATATATATATATATATATATATATTCCCCAGTGTTAAAAAAGGAAACCAGATGCCGTCGCTATTAACTTTTGGAATCAACTGTCATCTTCCTATTAAATCCTTCCATCCAAGTAAAGCCAATTATTTGCTTGATCTAAAAAGGTGCCGAAAATGGAGACGCACAAGGTTTCTGAAAGTCCACTTTAATAAGACAGGTGGGTAACTAATAATGTGGAAAATTGCCTGCAGATTGAGGAGACTGGGAATGACTAATGGCCAAAACTAAGCGAGTAAATTAGTTGCCAAATGATACCATTTGCAGGAGTTGTGCGAAAGGGAGATTTGATGGCCCAGAAGCATGTGGCACTGATCGGAGAGCAGAGCATTTGAGTGGGGCCCAGATTCAAGAAAGCATGCCATCGACTTATGGCAAGGCGTGCTTTAAAAAAGAAAAAAGAAAAAAAAACCCACCCTTGACTTTTAAATTATTATTATTATTATTCTTTCCATGTAAGCGATGCTATTTGGGTAAGTGCTTGATAGCGTAGGCACAGGAGCCCACTTAGCTCTCTGCAAAGTTTGACGGCAAAGTTGCTGCCAAGGTCAAAGACTCTGAATCAGAAATGCCCTTTAGGCGTGCTGCAAATCAAGCAGAGCTGGCGAGGAGAAGAAGAAGACAAAAAGGGAAAGGAACTGGGAAGAACTGGGAGGGGGTGGGTGGAATCACAAGTAATCGTTTTATATATAATTTTTTAATAATAATAATAATAATAATTTAAAGTATTTCCTATCCAATTTGCTATTAACAGCAAAATGAGATCCCTCATGAAAAACTGCATGGCTCTAGTCATAAGATTTAGAATCTGAGCTTGGAAAGGGACGTATTGAATTATGTGGGCTTATGTTTGCTTGGTAATGCTATGTTCTCTAGTTTTGATTCTCACTTGGAGAGCAGTGCAACAGTCAGTTCCCTTCTACATGGGGGGAAAAAAAATCCCTTACCCTAGTCCAGAACTGTCCAAGATGTGTGTCATGTCACATTAGTGTGTCAGCTGCAGTGTGTAGGTGTGTCACGCAAATGCTCTTATAAGGGGTTAGTTTAACTTCTGGTTTGCTAGTAAAACTTAATTGCCATGTCGCCAAATGATGCATGTCTAAAAAGTTCGTCACTGATGTGAAAAGTTTGGAAAGCCTAGCCTTTTGGATTGTTGTGTGTGACTGTTCATTTCTGCTTAGTCCTGTTTGTTCTGTTTGTGGCTGCTTCAGTAGTCATCTCGTGTGCCATATGCCATATTTTATCAATTTCATTACACTTTTGGTGATCCCAGCCAATCAGAGATCAAGGGCTGGAGATAATGATGTCATAATGCTCATCAGATTGTAGCTATGTGCTGATGTTGCTTAGGGCAAATGATGGCCATTCGAGTGAGGGCAATGCTTCCCATTGCTTGTCACATGGGTGACCCTAGCCAATCAAGGATCACTTGAAGAACTGAACAGCTTCTTAGTTCTTTCGAACAGACCCAAAACAAGCAGACTGCCTTGTATAGTTCCCAGCTGAGTATACTTTCCTAGTTTTCAGGCAAATTAACCAAAGAGTTAGGAGACATCTTCCTATGTTTCTATGTTCTGGTGAGAATAAAGAAATGTGTCTTCACATCAATACAATACTAGAAGTTGAGGAGATTAGGTTGAAGACTCCATGAAACACATAATGTGTTAAAATCTAAATGCCATGATTACTATATAAAACTTCCATGGTCAGAGGCAGTATCTATGGATACTAGAAACTGGGGACAAGCCATGGTTTAGGAGGACACTATTTCCTTGTCATTCTTCTGTCCTTCTCAGAGGTTTCTAGGGCATCACTCTCATTTAAAGAAGGCTGAATTAGATTAGGGTTTGGTCCGGTTCAAGATGGTTCTTCTTAAAGTCTTACTCTTGGAATGTTTGGAGATCACATCTCCAGAGGAACCCAAGAGTCTAGGCTGTTGTAAATAGTATCAGTCCAGTTTTAGACAAATATACTCACCCTCTTTACTAACATTCTTTTTTCTGCATTTCCTTTTAATCTTATGCACTTTTCTATTTCAGATTTATCCTGTATGTGCTACAGGCAAGCAGTCATTGCTGGTTTGCTCCCTCCAATATATTTCCTAGGTGCCGTGGGTTTTTGTTTTTGTTTTTTGTTTTAAAAAAGAGAAGTCTATAATTTGATACAAGACTTCACAACAGGTGGCTAATTGTTTTTGCTCTCGGCCCTCCAGGACCTTAATGTGTGAGTCAGGCTTTTGAAATCAAGAGTGAATGTTGAGCAAATAAGCAAAAGATTGAAAAAGAAAGACCCATCATAAGGAACACAAGGGTAAAGATGAAGTACAATTTCTCAGGTTTCAAGGCCCAGGGTGAATTAACCTGTGTGGAAGAACACAGATTAAGATGTGGAGGCAGCTGAGTTGCCAGCCAGTTAAGGATTTCCTGGGATGGAACAGAATTGTATCCTCTTGGCTAGTCACCAGAATTGGGGGGATGCAAAGGGTTTATTATTATTATTTTTAAATAGACCCATATCCAGATGGATGGCTCTTGCTATTAGTGTGGGTGACTGAGGCCGGTGTGTCTGCTTCCATGGGGCTTCCAAATTATCTAAAGAACAGCAAATCAATGAAACCTTGTAGAAACCGTACAGTTGCATCTGAAACTGGCTCCCACACATGCTGAAATTCCTGAGCAAATGATGAAAAACCTTTGCCTGATGCTGGAACGATATCAAGAGTGGTTCCAGGCCAGCTTATCTAGGAAAGGGAATCTTTAACTCAGTGGAAGAGTATCAGCAGTTGAGATTCAACTGCTGACATCTTGAGGGAGTGCTGAGAATGTTCCCACTATGACAAGCTGGAGAGACGCTGTCAGTCAATCTAAACAATATTGAGCTAGATCACGGTTTCCCAAACTTGGGTCTCCAGCTGTTTTTTGGACTACAACTCCCATCATCCCTAGCTAGCAGGACCAATATTCAGGGTTGATGGAAATTGTGGTCCAAAACCAGCTGGAAACCTGAGTTCGGGAAACTCTGAGCTTGATTGACCAATGCTGAGCTGTGTGTGGACAATACTGATGTCAATGTTGGTCCGACTTGGGATAAGGCAGCTTCCAGGGTTCCTATATGGATTGCCAAAACCTTTCTCCTTGACTGCCGCTCATCTAATTTCAATGGGATTTTGGGGGATGCCCTGAGCGGAAAATGTAAAGTTTGTTCAGGATGATCAGGGAAAGGGCAACCAGTTAAGCAGACCGTAGGACATCTCTATTGGCAGACGTGCAGATCGGTTGCTTGCTGCAACACTACTCATGCTGGATTTCCCTTACTACACCAGGATCAGCTATGGAGATTGTCCATCTTCCTTCCTTTTGACTGGAGCATTGATTTCTCCAGCCCTTCCACCTACATGAGAGAGTCCTGTGGTCAGCCATCAAGTTGTCTTCCATGCAAATTATTTCTGTGATTGTTGCCACATGGTCACCATGGCAGCATCACAGTGCGATATGCGAGCCTTATACAAAGTCAGGCCATTGGTCTATTTTGCTCAAAATTATCTACACTGGCAAGGTCTCTCCAGGACTTCAGATTCTGGACACTCCTAGTCCTACCTGGAGATACCTGGGACTGAACCTGGGAGCCTTCTGCATGCTGTTGTGCATCTTCCCCAATGAAGGCTGTAACTGTATAGTTGAACGATAGGTCATTTTCGCTTGTTGGCCAATATAGACTCCAATCATCCCACACACAAAATGATGGCAAACAAAATAATGCTTTGTACTTTTAAAGAACAATACACCCTTGTTAGCTTCTTCTTGTTGTTGTTGTTGATGATGTTGTTGTTGTTAACAAATAGACACCTGCTGTTACTTGTTGCTGCCTGCTTCAACCTTTGGTTTTCAGTCAATATTAGAAAGAAACAAAACCCACAAACAACAACTAGAAGCATCAGCACACAATACATACTATTATTCCCTTCCGGAAAATAAGAACATTTTTGGTCTGTAATTAGCAAAATGTTTTTCTTTTCTTTTCTTAAGGATATCACAGTAGTCCACCAGGTTTGGTTTTTGATATAGATATTGAGGTTCCCTTCATACAGATAATAATATTAAACTTCCCACAAGATTCAATGATATCTGATTTTTCCTTCCTTTCTTTTTTTGCAAGTTGTGTTGATGACACAACCCCTTACCCAAACTTGGTGAAGAGGATGGAGGAAATCGCTGATGTGCATTTGAACCACTGAATGTGCCCTAGATTGTGCCTCTGAGCACAGCTGGCTGATCTCAATGGGATGTGCATTGCCATGCATATCTGAAAGCGCATTTTAATCTGCAAGCAGCATGCACCAGCTTGCTGACATAACATGCACAAGCTGTGAACACTGCTACACTGTGCATCAGTGTGACAAACTGCTGCTTTAAAGGAATGACATCACAAACACATTACATGCATTTGTGACAGCATAGGGAAGCAGAAAACAATGCGTGAATAGACAGGTTTCACAAAATGCACCCACACACCATGATGGCCCATAGGATCATTTATCCCTGTTGAAATCAGGCTCAAGAGAAGCATTTTGTTGTAGCCAAGAGGACAGGTTTGGGTTGCCAGCTCAGTTGAGTGACACCCATGCTAGTTCCTTCACTTTGTAAATGTGCCCACGGCCCCCAAAACGTTGGTGACCCATGACCTAACACATTATGTGAGCTCCCAAAATATGATCTGCCTATAAAAAGGGGTGAGAGGAAAGTAGCTGTCCAACGATCACTTATAAGGATGGGCAGTGAAGAGTGCATTATCTACAGCCACACAGTTCTTAATAATAATAAAAACTCAGCAATGTCTTTGTCTTCACGCAACAGCAACTAGGCCCCATTTTCCTCTGGGCCCCCTCTTTCCCCCCCCCTTGCTTTCCGCAATCTTCCTTGACACCAGCGAGAATTATTAGTTGTGCTCGCCTATGCCACGCATCTTGGTTACCTCTAATTGAAATGGAGGTGATCTTGAGTGGCAAAATTGGTTAAGAAACTCTTCCAAGTGCCTCGTTTGTATAATTTATCAGGGGAATCAAATGCTTCTGAGTTTGGATCATTTAGTTCTCAGGAGTTTTTAATCTCCGATCATATCAGGAGGTGGGACAGGACTCGATCGTGGAAGAACTTGATGATAACGTGGAAATTTATTTACTGTGTCAAATGCTGATGTTGCCAGAGGAGCGGTTTGAGGTGAGAATTACCTTTCACAGAAAATTAACTGCAGGAACCTAGTTAATTTGAAGGAAATGCAGACCTTATACCTTTTTTTTTCTCAATAAATTCCTGGCAGAGAATGCGAACATATTTGTACTCTCTCAACCTTAAACGACTTCTTTCATCAAGCACAAGAGTTAAAGCAGGGGTGCTTAAATAAAGGCATTAAAGTCTTCTTGATGTGACTGAAGAGGGAGAATTAATCTGATTAATCCTATCTGTCTTTCTCCCCAAAATATTGGGTGACTACACATACATCACATGGAATCTCCCTTAGGGATGGCAGAATCATCCAACTTAGTTTCTTGTTTTCTGCACATATCCGCATCAGTTTGCATTTTTTAAAAAAATCTTCATGAAAATTCATCTTCAGCAAGGATTATTCCCAATATACATAGCTTTGTGTGCCATTTTGCATAAAATGCACAAAGTTATGTAGTAAGCACATATTTCTGATTCCAAAAGTCACAGGTTCAGCCCTGAGTACCTCAAGTGAATGGATCAGGCAATGGGAAACATTTCTGTCTGAGGTCACATTCACACCATACCTAGAAAGGACACTTAACACGCACATGACTTTGCCCCAAAGAATCTTGGGAGCTATAGTTTACCATGCACAAAACTACTGTTCTCAGCACCATCAACCATTTACAGTTCCCAGGGTTCTTTCAGAGAAGGCTTGTGCTTTAAATGTGTGACATGGATGTGACCTGCGAACTTGGAGAACCAAAGTAGATCAGTTTTTCCCCAACCTGCTGACCTCCAGAAGTTTTGAACTGTAAGTCCCTTCGTTGCTGAAATTGAGTATATTTCCTGCAGAGAAATCCTGCAGTGATTTCATGCTCTTTATTGCAGCTTGTAAAACAGTGATAGAATTTTCCCCAAACCTCAGGCTTTTATATACATTATTTACACAATGAGTCCCGTCTGATTGCCTGATTCTGCTTTCCTCCTGGAGCCTGATTGGTCTTCTCCTGCAGACCAATCAGTTGTTGCATTCCAGGATCCTACCAGCCTGATAGGCTGATAAACTTCCCCCTGGGGTCTGATTGGGCTGCTGCTGCAGGTTAATCAGTTGTTGCATTCTAGGATCCTACTTGCCTATTGTTCTAGGATCCAAGGTTAGTACATAACAGATCCTGACCACTGACTATTCCTGATGGAAGTTCTAGTCCAGAACATATGGAGGGCACCAGGTTGGCGAAGTCTAGAGTAGACAAATCAGGCCAGATATACTTTGATCTAGATGAAATGGGGGAATAGTCTGAACTGGTATAACTTGCTTTCCTTCAGAAAGACCTGAGTCATTTCGGGTGGGGGAAAAACCACTTTATGAGGCTGCATTGTGTGTGGGTTTGTGTATATGCTAGGTTGTTCTTTTCACATTGGCAGCTATAATAGCATCTATTATTAGGAGGAGAAAATAGCATTACAAATTGAAACTGAGTAGAGGAATATAACAGGAAACAAGTAGGGATTTTAAAAGAGGGAAAGAGAAAAAACCACAACAGAGGTATCAGCAAGACCCAATTGTTTACCTTTGTATTTTACATCTTTCAGCAAAAAAGAAAAAGAAAAAAACCACCTATCTAAAGGAACAATTTGTCTGTACCCCAAGTAATGGCCTGACAGCAACCACAATAATGATAATAATAAAGTGGAATATGTGTGTGTAGGTTTTTTGGGGGGGAGGGAGAGTTATTTGTTCTCCAGAATAACTACTTTTTGGAATTTGCCACACTCTGTGGGCACAGCTTAAGCATTTCCAATCTAAGTTTACAGTGTGAAGGGGAGGCAAAGAAAGGGGGAGAGGGAAAGAGAGGGAGAAAATAAGTAAACCAATAACAGAAAAGCACAGATTACTCTGAGAAATGATACTGCAAATAACTGGAAGGAAAAAAGCCATCTTCTTCATGGTAAGTTTCACAAAGTAATTCCATGGCAGACAAACCAAGGTAAATATTTACTGTAAGTTTCCTTTGAACCTGCGGGAGTCTGCAATCCACACTGCCTGCTATCCGTAATACTTATCTTAGTCCTTTGTAGATTAGTTTCATGACCGTTATTTCCAAAAGGGTATATTATTTGTCAAAACCATTGCTGAAGACCTGTGTTCAGAGTCGGCAGTAAGCGGGGTGCGGAGGGGGGGTGGAGAGAGAGAAGGCGGAAAACTGAAAAGAAAAGCCAGGGGAGGGGGGAAAAGAACTTCTACTTTTCAGATAGTTGTTGGTTTGTGATAAGTACCGTTGTCCCATTCTTCCAGCCTCTGTTCAAACAAGGCCTAACTCTCACCGAGGCGTTCAAAATGTGTCTGAACTGCGCAGTTCAGAGCCACATGTTGCATTCAGACAGCACCTCGTTCCATTTTCCCCCAGCGCTTGATTTCCCTGCCTTCATTTTACGTAGTCTCTCACACGACGAATAAGCTGCTTCTGAAAATCTAGCAGGCTCTAGTGGATGCTCAACAGCAGAGGCGCCAGCCAGCTTGCTGTGGGGCGTAATCCATTGGTGCAGTCAAATGCAACATTCCTTATTTCTCTAGAGTGGACACCGGCAGGGGGACATCCAGTCCGTGCAACTTCCTGTTCCACTGGTCTGAAGCATCCTCCTCCTTCATGTCACCTGGAAGATGTGCCTGGCCCTGGCCGACTCCACCAAAGAGCCGAGTCTCACAGCCTTATTCTCAGTTCGTCTTGATACCGCTCTTGCTTGCTGATCTTTTGCTGCTGTGCTGCTCTCCTGCAGCCATTTTGTTATCTCAATGTAATTTTGCTGTCTGCTGGCTCTCAACCAGCAGCACATGAGTTCAGTCTCCTAGTAATAATAATAATAATACAGTGGACACTCGGGTTGCGAATGTGATCCATGCAGGATGCACGTTCACAACCCACAGTGTCCGCAACCCACAGTGGCGAGTCTGCATATGTGTAAAGCGTGATTTAGCACTTCTGCACATGCGTGACCGCCGAAACCTGGAAATAACTTGTTCTGGTACTTCCGGGTTTTGACAGTCTGCAACCTGATAAAACGCAACCTGAAGCATCTGTAACCCGAGTTATGACTGCAATAATAATAATTTATTTATACCCTGCCCATCTGGCTGGGTTTTCCCAGCCACTCTGGGTGGCTTCCAACAAATAATAATAATAATAATAATAATAATAATAATAATAATACGATAAAACATCAGTCATTAAAAACTTCCCTAAACAGGGCTGCCTTCAGATGTCTTCTAAACATCAGATAGTTGTTTATTTCTTTGACATCTGATGGGAGGGTGTTCCACAAGGAGGGTGCCACCACTGAGAAGGCCCTCTGCCTGGTTCCCTGTAACCTCCCTTTTTGCTGTGAGGGAAATGCCAGAGGTGGACCTGAGTGAGATGAACTCACTGTTTGTTTATGTAATTACCAAGTAAAGCCTGCCTTCCAGAGATGATATTTGGTGATCTGACATATGAGTAAACTTTTTGTTACTTTACTCAGAAAGACTCTTGTGTCTTTATTCTTTTAAGAGGGATCAAAGGGGACACCGGGAAATAATCTTAACTAAGAGATTCAGA